GTTCCGTTCCCGGTTCCGTTCCCGGTCCCGCCCCGTTCCGTTCCCGGTTCCGTGCCCGGTTCCGTGCCCGGTCCCGTTCCCGGTCCCGTACCCGGTTCCGTACCCGGTTCCGTACCCGGTCCCGCCCGGTCCCGCTCCGCTCCGGCTCTGCCGCCGCCCCTCCGCCGCCGCCGCGTGGCCGCCCCGCGCCGGCCCCGCCCCTCCCGCCCCTCCGCCAATCAGCGGCTGCGGCGGGCGGCAGGCTCGCTTTGTGAATGGGAGGCGGGGCCAGCCGCGCGCATGCGCCGCGCGCTGCGCCCGCCCTGCCCGCGGGCAGCGTGGCCGTGTCCCGTCCCCGCGTGTGCGGGAGTCCCTCGGTGTCACCGCCGTGCCCACGTGTGCGGGGATCCCTCGGTGTCACCGCTGTCCCCGCGTGTGCGGGGGTCCCTCGGTGTCACCGCTGTCACCCGCACTGCCCCGGCCCGCGCCCAGCCGCGCCGCGGGGCCGGGCCGGCGGATCTGAGGCTCCCGAGCGCGGCGGAGCTTTGCGGACCGAGTCCCCAAGGGCAATGCTGGGATCGGCAGCGCCTGCCCGCGCCCTTTGGATCCCGGCCTGCTGACAAAGGCAGGTGGCGGCAGGGATCAAAACACCTCAAGAAAAAAGTAAAAATTCCAGAAATTCTGATTTATCCAATTTTGATTTATCTCTGCACGCTCCAGCTTTACAAGCTGCAAATTAAGGTCAGTTGTTGAGGAATTGATGAAGCAAATGCACTTAGAGCAGCTTACAGCATCCTTTCTCTACATTAAAATGAATGCACGGTTAAAATTCTTATTAATTTTGCATTAGAGGTTATGCGAGGTTTCTTGTTTTGTTTTTTTTAATTGGCTGAGCTACAATTGTCCTGCATAGTATTAGTATTAATACTGTACTGTATGAATACCTAATAGTATTGTCCTATGCTGAGCAGTACAGTGAGTCCTGGAGGAATGATTCAATGGGGTTAAGAACCCAAAAAATCTGATTTATTATTAAAAATCACTAAAGTGCACCTGGAGCCACCACAGTGGGTGACAGGACCAGGCAACAGCCAGAGGATTTGGGTGTTCCCCCTGTTCAGGCACAGGACTGAGAAAAGGAGAGAATAAACAAGAGTCTCCTCCAGGTAAGCCCTGAGTTGTACCAAATCCTGTCAGTCTGGCAGCAAATCCCCAGCACAGCCACATCCTCAGGGACACCGCAGGGTGCAGGTCCAGATAAACACCAAGGACAGGGCAAAGGATGGAGTATCCAGGCCTGAGTCTGCTCTTTGAACACAGGCAGGACACAGCTCCCCGTGTCCAGGCCAGAAACAGCCCCACAAACCCAGGTCAAAGCTCCTGAAAGTGCAGCATGAGCCGTGCTGGGGCAGGGACACGCAGAGTAAGCACAACTCTTTTCAAAGGATGCATTTCCATGGCACTCAGGCAGGGGCTGGCAATCACTGCAGCAGGAGGAAGGCTGGTGACACATCTGGAGCTGCAGCACACAGCACTAAGCTTCGGAGCTTTCCAGAACCAAAGATAAAGAACTTCTCCCTGCAGTCAGGAGGAACGATCACTCAGGGCCACCTTTGAAGCATTTGTGTCGTTTATTATTGGCAACGCCCAGAGCTGTAATTGCAAAACCCCACCTCGGCATTGGTTTGATTGCTCCTTTGAAAGGTGATGAATAAATTTCCTGTTTGTTTTTTTTTCTTTCCTTAAATAGAAAAAGGCCCGTCGGTAGCTGCTGGAGCCTGGTGGAAGAGCTCCACCCGGTGGCACTCACAAAGGCACAGCTGGAGCCTCAGCTCTGGGGGAAGGCTCCACTTCCAACACTTCTCCTTAAACGGGCAAGGCAAGGCTAGGAAGGTCCAAGCTGCTTCCAGCAATTTCCTGCCCCTCTCACCTCTAAGGAAACACAAGGGTCACAAACAACACCGCTGCTGGCTCCTGCATGAGCCCAAAGGCCAAAACACCTGCAGAACTCCCAGGATGGGGGTCCCATCCTGCCTCAGGTGCAGCACCAAGGCCAGAGTGTGAGCTCACAGGCTTCATCCTTACCAGTCCTCTGTGACAGAACCTGGCCACTGTGCTCCTTCAAGTGCCAAAAAACACTGTGAGGTTGCATTTATCTTTTGGGATAGATGGAAGCAAATCTTTCCCCCACAGTTTTACCCATTGTAGGAGATTCTTGATTTTCAGAGCATTCACCTGAATTATTTCTCTGATGAAGAGTGATAAAAATTATCAGCTGCAAACAATCCCCTCTGCAACAGGCATCTGGATTCCAGTCCTGATTATGGGATATCTGGAAGGACAATCATCAACCCCAGAAATTAAAATACACCCTGCCTCACTCAAGGCACTTTTACCATGTGAAAACTGGGCTTGTGAAGCTCAGTTCTGACTTAAGCAGCTTCAGAATTTGCTCCTTTTGATGCTTGGTAGATTCCAATCAGGGAGGAGATGGTCCCCAGGAGTCCTACCAGCCATGGAGGGAACTTTCCTGCCCAGAGGAATCCTGGAGGCAGCCAGTGGATGGCATTGGAAAGATCTGCTGTGTCCATGAGGATGCTCAGAACTTCAGCCTTCACCTGGGCTCTCAGCTTCTGCTGCTGCTGAGGTGAAGAAGTGCTGCAGGAAGAAAAGGTGATGTTAGTGACAGTCCTTTTCTCACCCACAGATGGGGCAACTGAGAGGTGTTTTGAAAACTTTTATGCCATTTTCAGTCTCATGTGAAGGGTGAGACAATACAGATGTTATAATTCACACCAGCACAATCAAAAGCCAGCTATTTCCTAATTACAATACATTTTAAGTGTTTCTTGGCCTATCAGCTACTACAATACATTTTTTATAGTTCTATTTCTCTGAAGTATCTAATCTTATTTACAAAACCATCCTTTGAAACTTGTTTCTAGTTCAATTTCTCTTTCAATACTGTCTTATTCCATAGCATGTCTAAGTCAGTATTTCTCCTCTCAAGGTTTGCATACAGATGCACACTGTGTGAGCCTTCTGTCAGACTTTGAGAATTCCCTTTCAAATCCAATTTCCCACATTAGTCCAGCACGTCCTCAGAACTGTGATGGCAACAGATGAGAACTGACGGGTGTGGGTGAGTTACAGGAAGGATGGAGAGGAACTGGGGACAAGGGATGGAGGGACAGGACACAGGGGATGGCTCCCACTGGGAAAGGGGAGATTTTTGTGGGATAGTGGGCAGGAATTGTTCCCTGGCAGGGTGGGCAGGCCCTGGCACAGGGTGCCCAGAGCAGCTGTGGCTGCCCCTGGATCCCTGGCAGTGCCCAAGGCCAGGCTGGACAGGGCTTGGAGCAGCCTGGGACAGTGGAAGGTGTCCCTGCCATGGCAGGGGTGGCACTGTTTTAAGGGGTGATTTTAAGGTCCCTCCCAACCCAAACCACTCTGGGATTGCCTGATCAGCCCTACAGCCACGGAGGGAAAGCATACCACTTGTGCTGGCTCAGTTTCCTTCTTAACTGGCACAAGATTCTCAGGGATCTGAAAAGAACACAGTTATTTCTCCTACAGCACCAAACAGGAGGAGTTTTTTTTCCCTTTTGCACCACCAGCTTCAGCGAGGACGAGCACCTCCCACCGCTTTGCTGGAGCCCGGTGCCAGGGCAGGAGCACCCCGTGCCCATCGCGGCCGTACCGCAGGATGCCCAGGAGCAGGGCACAGCCCCACAGCGCCGTGCTCCGCGCCCACCACTGCCGGGAGCCGGCGCGGACGATGCCGACATCCGCCGCCCACGCCAGGTGCTCGCAAGGGTAGTAGAGCTGGTTGGCCACGTTACAGAGCACCGAGAGCCCCCGCACCAGCGCGTCCTCGCCCTGCGGGGAGCGGCACAGAGCGGCACATGGGGCACGGCCCCGCCCGGGACCCCCGGAGCCGCCCGGGACCCCCGGGGCCGCGCTCGCCTCGGGGGATGCCCGGGACCCCCGGGGCCGCGCTCGCCTCGGGGGATGCCCGGGACCCCCGGGGCCGCGCTCGCCTCGGGGGATGCCCGGGACCCCCGGGGCCGCGCTCACCTCGGGGCCCAGCCCGTAGCTGCAGCTGTGCCGGAGCATGGCCAGGTCGTCGAAGAGGCGCAGGGCGGTGCGGCAGGAGCTGAGCTGGGCAGAGGCGGCCAGGAGCCCCCCGGGCAGCCCCGCGGGGCCGGGCAGCGCTGCCCCCGCCAGCTGGCAGCCGTAGGACAGCGCCCGGACCTGCGGGGCACGGCCCGCTCAGCGCCCGGGGCCACCGGCTGCACGGCCGGGAGGAACCGGGGCGGGTGTTCTCCCTCCTTCTGTCTCTTCTCCTCTCTTTAATTCACCTCTCCGTCTGCAGCTTCTCTTCCCGTTACCCAACCCCCACTGCGCTGTGCTCCGGGACTCCCATTCCCGTTTCCATCCCGTCATTTACCGGTAAAACCTGCATTGTTTGCGCACCCTCTGCCTTTCGCCGTTCCTTCCCACCACCGAACACTTAGGAATGCCTCGGGTGCTTCCTTCCCCTTAAGGGTGGCTCGCTACCGCAGAGTCGGGTCCCGTCGTTCACCGCCCGGTACCGGAGAGTTCAGATCCCCTTCCTCACTCGGTACCGGCAGGCTCAGACCCCTCTCCTCAGTCGGTACCGGCAGGCTCAGACCCCTCACTCCGCACTCCCTGCCCGGTACCGGCGGGCTCAGACCCCTATCCTCACTGGGTACCGGCGGGCTCAGACCCCTCTCCTCAGTCGGTACCGGCGGGCTCAGACCCCTCTCCTCAGTCGGTACCGGCAGGCTCAGACCCCTCACTCCGCACTCCCTGCCCGGTACCGGCGGGCTCAGACCCCTCTCCTCACTGGGTACCGGCAGGCTCAGACCCCTCCCCTCAGTCGGTACCGGCAGGCTCACACCCCTCACTCACCGCCCGGTCGCGGCCCCGGTGCGTCTCCAGCGCGGCCACGAGCCCCCAGAGCGCGCCCGCCGCCATGGCAACACTTCCGGGTGTGTGGTCACGTACCGGCGCGGGGCACGCCGGGAAGGAGGCGGACCCGTCGCCATGGCAACGCGGCCTGGCTGCCCCGCGGCCCGGCCGGGGCCTGGTCCCGCTCGGGGCTGGGCCCCGCTGTCCGTGTCCCTCACGACCCCCGCACCCCTCCAGCGACTCCTCCATCAGTCCTTTCTTTTTCCACCCCCGCTTTCCCTGTTCTGCGGGTTCCAGGCCGGCCCCGCCGCTGTGCTGGTGTTGGACCAGGCCGGGGTTGAGTCAAAGAAATCTGGGAAACCCAACTTTAAGAGGCCCACAGGGAACTTCCCCTGTTCCCCCTGAGGAGACCTCCCACCCCCGGTGAGCTCTGGGAGGGGAACATTCTGTGTGGAGGCAGAGATGGGGCTCTCTCCATCCCCCCCACCCTCTCCATACTCCACACGTGGGTCCCACCTGCTTCCTCTGGGCCCCAGCGGCTCCCGTGCCTGGACACAGAGTCACACTCACGCTGCTGCTGATTAAAGCTCTAAGAACTACTTGGACAGTTTGCTTTCTCTTTTTATAGCCCAGTATCACAGAATCCCAGAATATCCTGAGATGGATCCCACAGGGATCAAATCCAGCCCCTGTCCCTGCCCAGACCCCCCAACAGCCCCACCCTGAGCAGCCCTGAGAGCGCTGTCCAAACGCTCCTGCAGCTCTGGCAGCCTCGGGGCGGGACCATTCCCTGGGGAGCCTGGGCAGTGCCAGCACCCTCGGGGGGAAGAACCTTTTGAGTAAATCTTCCTTTGAGTGGATCAATCTGATTTCCTGAAACTGGTTCATAGCACTAAGCAGAGCCACTGCCAGCCAAGCTTTTGCTGCTGGAGTTGAGATCCTTGTGGGTCCCTTCCCACGTGGGATATTCAGTGATTCTGGTTGTTTACACTTGCTGTATCCTCAGGTGCTGCAGTTATCCCACCTGGTGCACCACATCCTTGTTCCAGTCTCATGACTCACCTCACTGCAATCTGCTGTCAATCCCTTTGCTACTTCATTACGTAAAATGAATAAAATTAATGATTTCTGGGACATGAAGCAATGTCTTGATCTTTCTTCATCACTACATTTGTTTTTAAAAGTTGTTTTACATTTATTTTTGGGAGGAAGGAAAGGATTTTGATCAAAAGCTGTGCACAAGCAACCTCAGGAAGGGATGTGGTTAGAGCTGGTCATGGAAGGCATGAAAAAAATCTTCCTCTGACGTTACCTCCTGTTTCTCCAGCAGTTCAGAGAGAGGTCCCTTCATGCCATGGATCTGTGTTTAAGCCATTTGATTTGCTAAATGTGGAACAGATCATAGCTGAATTGGTCTTTTCCTTGGCCCTAAACTTCTGGAGCAGCTCCATAACTACCATATGGAGTGATATTCCCATAACTGCCATGTGGATTTCTTCATTTGCCTCCTCACCCTGAGAGTTGTTTTGTGTTTGGGTGAAGGTTTTGAGCAAAGTGCTGGTGGCAGAGCCGGCCTTTTCCTGTCACCAGGGGAAATGCACACAGGTATCTGTGACTGCAGAGCGTTCCTGGTGCTGCCTCCTCATTTACTGCCTCGCGTTTCATTTTTATTTTGATTCCATTTCTCAGCAGGTGAAAGTTCTGTCATGCTGGTGCCAAACAGGCAGCAGAGGGACTCCCCAAAGACGTGTCACAGCAGGCCCAGCCTTAATAAGCTTGGATTAACCACAGGGGAAGTGGGTTTATAGCCAGCACTCCTCTTGGAGTGTGCTCCTGAGCTACTTGAGATGTAGCAGTGAGCACCAACCCCTGTCTGCTCCAGCCTCGGGTGGGAGCAGAGTCCTAGATGAGAAATGTTGTGAAGGGAGAGGGAAAACAGGCAACCAAATCCCTAAACCAGGGAGTGTTGGAGGGAGGTAGGAGGTGACTGAAGTCCCCCACAGAGGGTCAGAGGAGGAAAATTGTCATGGCTAGAGGTGTCCAGCCAGGGTAAACACCTCTGCACTACCAGCAGAGAAAGCTGAGTATGTGCCAGGTACCAGAGACAGAGGATGCTGCAGCTGCCCGGGTGGGGTGACCCTTTAGGTAACAACACGCAGATCTTGGGACTGCCAGGTTCAGTGGTGCCACCTGCTCCTTTCTCAGCCCCATCCCAGTCAGCTGAAAGCTGTTTTGTCTCCTCAGATGAAATGCTCATCCCGGGGACTGTCCAGGAGGGCACAGAACCTCTGCAGGTCTGAGCAGAGAGGCAAGTTCACACCCAAGTCCAGGAGCCCACTGAAATCCAAAAGGCAAACTCCCAAGTGAGCTGTGTCCCCATGGGGACCCTGGAAGGGCCCTGTCCCCAGGGGAAGGTGATGTCCTCCCTCCTCCAGCGAGGCTGACGCACTCTGAGCTGCCTACACGGCGTGGGATCTCAGAGCCGTCCCCGTGCTCTGCTCTCGGCTGTGTGTTGTCACGGGGAACATCTATTTCTCAGATTGAATGAGGACACAAGGAGGTGTTGTGGCAGCAAGAATAAACACTGGGAGATTAGCCCAAAGGCGTGGGTGACACATCCCTCAGCATGGCAGGACCCACGGAGGAACAAAGCAGGTGGGGTAGGGGGAGGCACAGAGGAAGGGCAGGAGATCAAACAGAGCGAGAGGCACCACCAGGGCTGGCTGGAGGATGGGATATTCTGTTTATCTGGGATATTCTTATTATCTGTTTGGATTTTGGTGTCAAGGCCAGCAACCAAAGGTCAGTGAACAGTAGGACAGCGAGGCAGCTCTGCCCAGCTTGTGATGAGCAGGCTGTTTTCCTAGAGGTGAGCCCTGTGTTTTTGTAGAGTTGGTCACTCACATGGGCTTCCTGACTGCTGAGCTTGCACTAACTCTGTTTGGGATCTAGGTGTGTTCCAGAGGGATCGGGGGGGGGGCTGGTCAGCCCCTTCCCTTGGGGGTTGAGCGAGCAGGGTGGCACAGCTGCCACTTCAGGAGCTTTTCATGCACACGGCTTTGATTCCTCAGGACCCTTTGAGCATGGGACTAGTGAAATTTCACAACTGCTTCAGTCTGTGTGTGAGCAGTGCCTGGGCCCACGAGCCTCGTGCTTTCCTTTATGGATTTGACTCTTTATTTTTCAGGAATGAGACAATCTCTGCTCCACACGTGCTTCAAAGGAGCCGTGCACTCACATCTTCCAAGTGCACACAGGCACTCCTATCAGTCCCTCATGCCAGCACGTTGTTAAACATCTCCAGTCAAACACCTCAGCTGCAACATTTGGTGGAGTAACAGAGACTTGCATCTGCTCCAGGTCTGCCCCGTAACTTTGATGTGACCCTGAGGTGGCATTGCAGGAACAGCCACGGGGATAAGTGCTGGAATCACCCTTGGAGGCACCAGCTGGCTGGGAGAGCTGTTGCTGGGCGTCCCTGTGACTATTCACATTCTTTTTCACGTGGATTTTAGTGCAACTTCAGACTGTAAAGCTGCTTTTTGGAGTGAGGGCCTCAGCTTTCTGAGCTCCTCTCCCATTCCAGCAGTGCCCCAGGAATGCCTGAAGCAGGAAGGCCAAACAGGCTTTCTTTGATACGGTTGGTGGTGTGTGTCACCCCTCCCTGCCAGCACAGCCACCGGCACGTCCCGGTGTCACGTCGCCGGTGTCTGTGACTCAGAGATAAGATGAAGGCACGTTTTTTTCCCGGTTTAAAAACACGTCCCTCGTCACTGTGGGACATCGTAGCCACACGCACATCAGGCCGACACCAAAACATCGCTGCAAAACAGGGGCTCAGTCCAGCCCCCGGCAAGGCCTGCAGGGTGGGGCCAGCCAGGAACCGCGATCAATTCAGGAATTTTGGTGTAGCCTTTGCTCTCCCTCCTTTGCCTGGAAAGCTGCAGGCAGGCACCGGCCCGGTGCAGCCATGCAGCCGCCGGGGCGGGTGCGCAGGCTGCAGGTGAGGCTGCAGGACGGCCCGGCCCATGGCGGGGGGCAGCTGCTGCACGGCTGGGTGCGGCTGGAGCTGCGCGGGGCGCTGCGGGTGCGGGCGCTGGAGGTGTGTGCCCGCGGCCTGGCCACCGTGCACTGGCTGGAGAGCTGCAGCATCGGCCTCAACGTCGTCTACCGCGACTACACCGCCTGCCAGACCTTCCTGTACCGCCGCCGGCAGCTCATCTCCGGTAAGGCCCTGGCACAGGGGGGTTGGGGTCCCCTTGGGTGGGTCTGTGTGCCCGGGCACAGGATTGGAACCCCCTTGGGTGGGTCTTGGATGGGTCTGTGTGCCAGGCTGTTGGGTTGGAACCCTCTTGGATGGGTCTGTGTGCCAGGGCACAGGATTGGAACCCTCTTGGATATGTTTTGGATGAGTCTGTGTGCCAGGGCACAGGACTGGGACCCTCTTGGATGGGTCTGTGTGCCAGGCTGTGGGGTTGGGACCCTCTTGGATGGGTCTGTGTGCCAGGCTGTGGGGTTGGGACCCTCTTGGATGGGTCTGTGTGCCAGGCTGTGGGGTTGGGACCCTATTGGATGGGTCTGTGTGCCAGGCTGTGGGGTTTGGATCCTCTTGGATGAGTTTGTGTGCCAGGGTATTGGGTTGGGACCCCTCAGGCTGCTGGTGTCCCCTCAGAGGAACCTCTGCCCTGTAGGCGTTGCCGACCCAGGCAGGGCTGCTTGCCCCTCTTCTCACCTTGGCTGAGGGTTTCTCTCTCTGCTGCTGGTTTCCAGGAGGCTGCTGGTGAACCCAGGGCTTGGGAGCACCAGGGATTTGTGGCTTTTGTTGTGTTTGCACAGGGAAGAGCAAACATGAGTGTCTGCTTACAAGTGTGGGAAGAGCGCTTAGTGCTTCAGCCAATGTTTGCTTTCAGGTCCCTGATGCTGGCACTGCGTGCCCAGCTGGCACATTGCTTAGATCTGCTGCAAAAGGACAAACCACTTGCATGCCACAAGCCATTCTTTATGTGCTTGGGATGAAATGATCCAGAGCTGAGGGATGTGGGATGTCTCAACTGTCCATCCACTCAATAACTCTGGCTTTTCTTAGGAACATGCATGTCTTTTATCCTCCCCTCCAATAACTGTGTCACAGCCATTCCTCTGTTGCTTTCCCTCCCCCTTTCCCTGTTTCTCATGGCCTGGTTGCCCTGCCCTGGAGATGGCTCTAGGACTTCTGCTGAGGGCATTTCAATGTGTCAGTGGCCAACTGCAACCCAGAGAGTGGTGCCAGCCCAATCTGGCCAATGTAGACATTGCAGGAATAAACTGGAGGGATGGAAAGAGGACCTGAGTTGGCTTCCTGGAGGTGTTCCTGTCTCTGGACTGCACTGGGAAGGTGATTTCCTCTATTTCTGGACAACTGTGCTCTGCCATCTGCTCCAAACACCTGCACTGCTCTGGAGTTTCTGTCTTTTGGCAGCAGCTCTTCCATGCTGTGCCTAAGGATGTCCCCTTGGCAGCTGCACCTCTACAAAGTGTCCAAATTACAATTAAGCCCTTGCCCTGAAGTGAAAGTCTTGAGCACTTGGTTGTGCAGTACTTGGTCCATGTCCCGTTAGCTCTGAGGTGACAGGGGGAGTTTTATCCCCCATTATCGCTGCAGGGAATGTCTGTAGGGAAGCCACAAACTGCTGCCAGCACGTTTGGATTCTGCTGCTGGGACTGTGTGCTCCAGGAGCCCCTGGAGCCATCTGGGGAAGGGCACTTGGGCAAGAGCTGCAGGAATTGCAGGACCTGTTCGTCCTCACAGGCACCCTGCACACCTCGGAGCTGATGGTTCCTGGCCCTCCCTGACTGCACAGGGAGTGCTGAGCAGAGAGCAGAGCCTGACTGCACAGGGAATGCCTGGGGGCAGAGAGAGCCTCACCAGAACTTGGATTTTATTGTCTCTGTCCATACCCAGATTCCTTTTCTGCCTTGTGAGAGGGACACATGTGACCACCGGGATGTTTTATGGGAATGAACAGCACAGAGGGGCTGTCCTGCAGCCAAAATAACTTCCTTTGGATCCTGCTGTCCCCTGTTCTGTCCCCAACAACAGCGTGAGGGCCTTCCTGGTGTCAGCTGGTGAGAAACGTGCCACCATCCGACTGTCAGTCCCTGTGACTGCTCCTTTCTTGTTGCTTCTCCACGAGATCAGCTGTGTCTGCGTGGTGTTTAAAAAATGCAGGTTTTGTCATGGTAACAAGGCAGTGCAGAGGAGGGAAGCTGGGCTCAGATAAGCGCCCTCCCTTCTGCTCTCCCCTCAGCTGAGTTTATCTGCAGTTTCCTGGCAGGGTGGTGAGTGCTGGCACTGGGGTGCTGCGCTGAGAGACAAGAAAAAAGCAGGCAAGGAGGATATTCAGGCAGGGCCTTTGAATGTGTGTTGTGTAATCATCTGGGAGAGGGAGCAGGAGCAGAGGAAAAGACAGGGGGTTAATGGGCAAAGGCAGCAAGGAGAGCCCTGGACTCTTCTGCGTGAGATGATGGGAGGATAGGAAAGATAAATCATTGTTGTGCAGTGATCTTTTCTCTCAGAGGACCCTGCAGCACTTCCCAAAGGTGTAGTTCCTTCCCTGGTGAGAGGCAAACATCCAGAAGCCATTTTATTTTCATGGAGACATCCAGGAGAGTTATGGCACCAGGGCTCTCCTTCCTTTGCGGGGCGGCCCTCAATCAGGACCTTAATCCTTGTCCATACACAGCAGTCCCAAATCTGGCAGGGATGGGGCTGGCTCCTCAGCCTGGGAGCACGTGCTTGTGCCAGGCTCTGCGCTGTCCCATCTCACCCCACACGGGGCTGCTGCCTGACCCATTTACCTGCTGCCTTCCCTTCTCTCTGGCATTCCTCGTGTGGCTCCGGGCTCGGTGGGGAGAAGCCACAGGTCCAAGCAGGGGTCAGGGCAGATGAGCAGGGCAGGGTGTCAGCTCCTGCTGGGAGCAGCTCCAGCTTGGCCAGACTCTAGATGGGGCTGAAGAGTTGGAGATGGTGCCCTGAGCGCTGTGCCCTGCCTGGCTGGGCTCGCCTTGGGCAGCCAGGGCTCTTCCTGAAAGGAAAGCCCTTGGCTGTGCCCACACAGCCCCTGCACCCGGGGCTCACAGCAGAGAGGAGAGACCCTCTCTGGGTGTGGGGGTCCCAGAGGGGTCAGAGAGGGGCTGTCCTCCCTCCCCACTGCAGCGAGGGACAGCCGAGGGCACTGTGTGCACTGCCTCGGGAGGGAGGTTCGGTGCGGTTTGGTTCGGTTTGGTTCGGTTTGGTTCGGTTTGGTTCGGTTTGGTCTGGTTTGGTTTGCAGGGATCCGCATCCCGTGGGCGAGGGCTGAGTCACAGCCCAGGGGTGTGTGCCGGGAGGAGGAGGAAGGAGCAGGATGCCAAGCACAGAGAGGGGCCCAGCCAAGGCTCCAGCCCCTCTCAAGAGCCTCCCCACCTCTCATGTCACTGCAGGGACAGCGGGCGCCTTCCCAGAGCTGGTGTCACCAGTTAACTCATGCTGTGACGTGCCTTCCTTCCTCCTTTCCCTCTCCAGCTTTTGCTATGATTCATGTTTGCCCATGGCAGCAAATGGCAGTGCAATAAAAAAACCACAGTCCCCTTCCCCTGAGGAGGGAGACAGACAATTCCAGTCCGGCCTTGGAAACAGCTAAAGCAGTGCCAGGCTTCAGCCCAGCTCATTTCTTAAGTAGCTGTGATAAACAGAGTTCAGCACAGCAGGTCCTGCCCGGCATGGCTGGGAGCAACTCAAAAATCCCCAAAACTGAGGCAGCCAAATGCTGAGTAACGTTTTTCATGCCTGTTCTGTCTTATCCCCTGCCCGTGCCGGGGGTGTGGGGCTCTGGTGCTCCACAAACACGACAGCCATCACCAAAGTGGAAGTTTCTAAGGCTGCATTAACCCTTTTGGGGGCACAGATTCCTTTCTCGTCCCTCTTACAACATCTCGGGGTGCTGCTGATGGTGATGTCCACCCTGGCAATCACCAGTTCCCCGTTTTCACACTTTCACCTGGCTGAGCAACCAGCATGCTGCTGATGGAGCGAGTCCCTGGGCTGTTCACAGAATCACAGAATAATGAGTTTGGATGAGACCTTTAAGATCATCAAGTCCAACCTATGCCCTGCCCATGCAGGTGGAATTTGTGGCTGGGTTTGGGACACCAATCCCAGCAGGATCTGGTGGGAAACTGGAGCTTCCCTGGTTAACAAGCACAGGGAAGAGGATTGCTCACCCTGTCGTTGCACAAGCTGAATCTCAGCCAGTTCTTGATTTCTTAGAACTGAGTGATGTCCCAGACATCACCGAGTTTCAGGAGCCCAGATCCAGCTGTGGCCGGTTCCGAGCCCTGGGAATGGCTCTTGGGGAGGGAAGGATGTGGGTCAATGTGTGGCTCTGGCCTGGGGACACTGAGAGAGGCTTTGAGTGAGGAATCCCCCCTGGCCACAGCCCGGCTGTGACCCTGGGAATGGGGATTCTGGGCAAAGATGGGCTGGGATGTCAGGATTGGAGCTGCAGGGGGAGTTTGAGGGACAAAGATGGGGATTTTAGGGGTCAAGGATGGGGATTTTGGGGGGCAAGGATAGAAGCTAGTGAGGGAGCTTGAGGGGCAAGGATGGCAGCTGGAAAGGAGTTTTGGGGGACAAGGATGGAAGTGGAGGGGAAATTTGGGGGGCAAGGATGGAAATTGGAGGAGGGCTTGGGGGTCAAGAATGGGGAGTTTGAGGGGCAAGGATGGGGATTTTGAGGGGCAATGTTAGGAGCTGGAAAGGAGTTTGAGAGGCAAGGATGGGAGCTGGAACAGTATTTTGATGGTCAGCAATAGGAGCTGGAAGGGAGTTTGGGGGGGGCAAGGATGGAGTTGGAGGTGAAATTTCGGGGGGCAAGGATGGAGCTGGAAGGGAAATTCATGGGGCAAGTACAGAAGCTAGAGAAGGGCTTGGGGGCCAAGAACCCGGCAGCAGACAGGGAGTGTGCCCCGGAGCACCGACAGCGCCCAGCGGCGATGTGTCGGTGATGTGTCGGTGCGGTTCCGCGGCGATGTGTCGGTGCGGCACCGGGATAAGTCGGGGAGCCCGGACAATGCCCCGGGGAGCCCGGACAATGCCCCGGGGAGCCCGGACAATGCCCGAGGAGCCCGGACAGCCCCGCTCCGTGCCGAGGGGCCGATCCGCACATGCTCCCTGCCTTGTTTTGCAGAGCCCGGCCCGGCCCGGCCCGCCCCGCCGGGGCCGCCCCCGGCCGCGCCGGGCGCTTAAAGCCGGGCTGAGCCGAGCCGAGCCGGGCTGAGCCGCATCGAGCCGGTCGGGGCTGAGCAGCGCCATGATTTTCGATCGCCTCAAACGCTTCTCGATCGTGCTGGAGGGCGCGGAGCGGGACGGCCCCGCCGCCTTCAGCCCCGGGCAGGCGGTGTCGGGCCGCGTGGTGCTGGAGCTGGCGGCGGCCGCGCGGCTCGGGGCGCTGCGGCTCCGGGCGCTGGGCGCTGCCCGCGTCCACTGGACCGAGTCCCGCAGCGCCGGCTCCAGCACCGCCTACACGCAGAGCTACAGCGACCAGGTGGAGTTCCTGAGCCACCGCGACACGCTGATGGCACCGCCAGGTACGGCAGCCCCCAGCCCCAAGGGATGCGGCGACCCCCGGTTGGGTGGGGGTACCGGGCATCCCGGGATGATGGGTGCTCCAGACACCCCAGCCGGCTGAAATCGGGGTTGGGTGGGGGTACCGGGCATCCCGCGATGCTGGGTGCTCCAGACACCCCAGCCGGCTGAAATCGGGGTCGGGTGGGGGTACCGGGCATCCCGGGTGCTCCGAGCACCCCAACCGGCTGAAATCGGGGTCGGGTGGGGGTACCGGGCATCCCGCGATGCTGGGTGCTCCAGACACCCCAGCCGGCTGAAATCGGGGTGCTGGGTGCGTGGCACACCAAAACTGCAGGATCTGGGTGCATGACACGCCAGCAAGCTGAAATTTGGGTGCCTGGGGTGCCTTGGGGTCTCAGCGCTCTGGGAATGGGCTGTGGATGTCCCTGCATGTTCTGGGTGCGGGACACCTCGGCTGGGACAAGACTGCTCTTTTTTTTTTTTCTCTGAGCTATTCATGGCAGGGAGGCAGCGTTGGGGAAATGTGGAGGTTCAGGAGCTCGTTTTGAGTGGCAGGGGTTGGCCTAAATGAACCCTTCAGCCCTGGGGTGCAAATTCTTGAGGGGCTTGGGGGCTTGGCTGGCCACTCTCCCTCCAGCTGGGCACCCTGGGCTCTCACTCCAAAGCTGTGGAGCAGGATGGCTGCAGGATGGAGCAGGATGGCTGCAGGATGAAGCAGAGCCCACCTGGAGAAGCTGCCCAGCTCTCCGAGGACGTGCCCCTGGGCCGTGCCTGTCTGCAGACCCATGGAATGCAGACAGTGCCCAGCTCTTGTGTCACAGCTGCTGCAGCTCAGCCCTGGCAGAAACTCTGCTGTGCCCTCGTGCTGCTCCTGGCTGGGTGCTGCTCACCTCTGTGACCTGTCTGTCCGGGCAGGAAGGTCTGTAGTAGGGAGCTAATCCTCCTCAATCTCTTTTGCCCACAGACAATGGTGAGGCCACTGTCCTGCAGGCAGGAAGGCACGAGTTCCCCTTCACCTTCCAGCTCCCTGAGTAAGTTGGTATTTTTGGGGGGAGAGGGCATCTTGGAAATGAGGTTTTTTGAGCAAAACCCTTCTAAAATTGTTTGTTACTCATGCCCAGGACTCTGGTCACCTCCTTCGAGGGGAAGCACGGCAGTGTGCGCTACTGGGTGAAGGCCAAGCTGCACAGACCCTGGTCAACAGTGAAGAAAGCAAAGAAAGAGTTCACTGTGATTGAACCCATCGACATAAACACCCCTGCACTGCTGGTGAGCTCCCCTTCCTCCACCCTGGGGCTCTGGCATCCAAAACTTACCCAGGAAGCCCACGGGAAAGGTGTCTGCCTCCCCTTCAGCATTGCAATGCAGGCCTGGTTTCCAGAGGGAATATTTTCCCCCCTGTGTCTTGTGCCCTGCAGCATTACCTGGGCTGGGCAGAGGTCAGCTGTGCCTCTTTGCTTTTGGAAACTTTAATGCATTGCAACAGCTTCTTGCATCAGATACCTGAGAAGTTGCTGATGCTCCCCGGCAGGTTCTTGGTGCCAGGGAGGTGATTGCTATGAGTTTCATCCTTAGTTACTAAACAGCCCAAATATTTCCCTTTCTCCAGGCTCCCCAGGCAGGTGCTAAGGAGAAACTTGCTCGTGCCTGGTACTGCAACCGTGGCCAAGTGTCTGTGACTGCCAAGATTGACCGAAAAGGCTACACCCCAGGTGAGACCAGGTGCTGGGGCCCTTGAACCTCAGCGAGCCCAGGGGAGGGGCTTTGGGTCACTGTGAGCTGGCAGGAAATCAGAGATCTTTAGTGCGTGCACCTGATGTGGGCAGCATCCTTGGGATGCTCCTCCTGGATGAACCCAGGTGCCTGCCCTGTCAGACAGCGTGGCCAACCCTCGGTGGGCCTGTGCAGCCATTCCCTGGGGCAGGACTGGGCTTTCCTCCCCTCCTCCAATGTGTGTGTGTCTGTTTTGGCAGGTGAGGTCATCCCCATCTTTGCTGAGATCGACAACTGCACGAGCCGTGCCGTGGTGCCCAAGGCTGCCATCATCCAGACCCAGACCTTCGTCGCCCGGGGCACCAAGAAGCAGAAGAAGTCTGTGGTGACCAGCATCACTGGGGACCCCATTCCAGCTGGGAAGAGGGAGGTGTGGCACGGACGGGCCCTGAAGATCCCACCCGTGGGGCCCTCCATCCTCCAGTGCCGCATTATCCAGGTGGAATATTCCCTGAAGGTGAGGGAGCTCTGCAGGAATCCTCTCCTGCCCAGCTCAGGGGAGATATTTGCCCCTCCCGACTGGGAAAACACCACCAAGCTGAGCTTCCCTGCTGCTCTCTGTCTCGGCAGGTTTGTGTGGATATTCCTGGGACGTCCAAGCTGCTCCTTGAACTGCCTCTTGTCATCGGGACCATCCCGCTGCATCCCTTCGGGAGCCGCACCTCCAGTGTCAGCAGCCAGTACAGCGTCAACCTGGACTGGCTCAGCACCATCCCAGAGCAGCTGGAGGGTGAGCATCTCCTCCTCCCTGGGATAAACCCCCTGCTCAGGAGAGTGAGACACAAAATTCTCAACTGGGCCAGTTTTGCTTTGCTTTAACCTAATTTTTTTGGCTGTGGTGCTGAATCTCCTGGGTTCCTTCCTCAGGGAACTGAGAGGGTTTGGGAAATAGTGGGTTTGAAGCCCTTTTGCCTGTCTGTCCCTCATTTATGGAGAGTGTTTGCTATTCTCTGATGGTTCTTCTTTCTCTTCAGCCCCGCCTGAGTACTCAGCAGTCGTGTCCAGCCCAGAGACTGAGCAGAGCCTGGCTCCTCCGTGCCGCAGCGAGCTCGGGGACATCCTGGAGGGTCCCTTCTTTGCCTACATCCAGGAATTCCGCTTCCGACCGCCTCCTCTCTACTCAGAGGTGATGAATCCCCCTGGGCTGGGAGGCTGCTGGAGGCTGCCTGTGCCTCTGCTGAGGTTTTTGACTGTGGCCTTGGCTCTGCAGGTGGATCCAAACCCCGCGTCGGACAGCATCCGCCCGCGCTGCATGACCTGCTGAGAGAAGCCTGACGATCCCTGGGATGGCAGCTTGCACCCTCACAGCACTGGGGTCTGCAAACGGGGACGTGGGACCCCGACCCCGCTCACTCAGCCACTCCTGTCGTGACTGTCCCACGGGCCCAGAGCCAGCGCGGCGCCGTGGCCCCGGCACGGGTAGGAGAACACGAGGGGCTGGCGGTGTGGAGCCAGGCAGGACACGCAGGCTTCAGAACTGCCCCGGGATTTGGGGTTAGAGCAGGGAATTCGAGCCGAGGTTGCTCTCCCCTTGCCTGCAGTGCTACGCTCCAAAAACTTCTGTCAGCTCCTGAGTGGAAAACGGGAGCTTGGAGGCGTTTCTCAGGATTGCTGGAGAATGTTTGTTTGGATGGTGCTCAGGGCTGGGCCCTGGGCGGTGCAGGTGCAGCCCTTTGCCTGTGGCTCAGCAGGACTGCAGGTCCCCAGGGCAGTGAGAGCTCCTTTCCTGGCTGGATGAAGGAGAGGGCTCAGCCACTGCTGATAATCTTTACCACAAGCCTGTGGGTACCTGCAGGGGGAATGGCTTGAGCCGCTTAACCAAACTCTAAAGGCCTCCAAGGGCTGATACAAGGACCTGGGGATGAATTTATGATCTGTGGCAGTGTTTTGGTGCCATTTCCTAAGAACAGGAAAGCTGGTTCATGAGTGTCAGCACCAAACCTGCACAGTGTGCTGGTGCCTCCCCCAAGATGGGGCTGAAACCAACCCTCAAACTGTGATACCAGCACAGGGGGTTGGTGGCCAAAGAAGAGAGAGGGAGGCCCAGTCTGAGGCTGGTGGCAGCCAGAGGTGCTGATAAGAGATGTGGAGTTGGGATGAATCCTTCAGGGCTGGGAGTCCTTGAGATGTCAGAGACCCTGGTGGGGTGAAGACACAGCAGCAACCTGTGCTCACTGGGTGGGAACCAGGGTGGGAAGGGTGAGCTGGATGTTGTGGTCAGGAGCCAGGGGCTGACCCCGCTCACTGCAGGAGGACCTGGGCAGAGTTTGGGGGCTGATGACCTTTGCATTCCCTCACTGAGACAATCCCTGACCGTGCACAACCAATGCCAGCGTGCCTTGGGGTTGCTCAGATGAGTCTTTTCTATCTATGAACACTTTTGTAATGACCACTCTTTGTCTCTACTCTTTTTGTACGACTTTTTGGTGGGGAATTTTTTGTCTGAAATAAATTCTTTAAACCAAACTGTTGCCTGGATAGTCTTCTGTTCCTCTTTCTGCTTCTCGTTGTCCGGAGCCATGCTGTGGCTGTTGGGATTTGGGAGTGCTCCCTGCCCTCTCTTCACTGCCCTGCAGGCACCCAGCTGCACTCTGTGCCCAGTCCTGCCCTGCTCCCCACAGGTTTTGTCCCTTGAGCCTCCAGCTCCTCCACATCTGGCCGTTTTGACACTTTTTTTCCTTACCTGGGATGCAGGGCTGTGAGCAAACCTGTTGTATTTTTCCACACTTGATTCCTGTTTACGTCCAGGCTCTGGAAGGACAGACACATTCCCCATCCTGGAAGCCTGGCAGGGACCCAGCAGGTCCAGCTGGGAGCTGGGACATTCCTGCGTTGGTTCAGCCAGTCCCAGGGAGGGTTGGGATCAGTCCCATGTGCTGGCTGGGAGCTGCTGCCATGTGGGAAGAGCGGGGAGGCTCCTTCACCTGCTTCCTTGGGCTGGAATTTGGGTTTTCACAGCATTTCTGTGCTCCACATCTCCCCTGAGCATGGTGAATCTTTGTGCATGCAAGGCAGGGTTTGACTCAGGGCTTTAGTTTTCTCTTCCATGGATTGTGCTGCTTAAAAATACTATCACTGGAATGTGATTTTTTCCCCCACCACTTTTATTTATTTTTTTTTTTTTGTTTGCTGAGCTGCTCAGCCCCGAAGCTGCATCAGAGCATGTGCTCCTGCCCTGGGCCAGAGGAGAGAACTTGTCCCTGTGTTTGCCTGTGAGAACCTGGTGCTCCTGCAACCTTTATTCAAATCTGGTTTTTCTTTGGCATCCCTGGTGCTCTGATTAATTTTTCCTGGGGGAGGATTAACCGGCCTCGCAGGGAATGTGTTTGCATCCCCATTTGTGGGGGGATCGTGTCTGGATCTGCCGCTGGCAGCAGCGGTGGCTGGTGTGGTGTGGCCTCTTGGGGGTGTTTTGGTGACATCAAAGGGGACATGAAGCACAGCGCTGCACCCCCAGGTGGAGATGGCCCCGAAGGCAGCCCTGTGACCAGGCTGACCCCAGCCAGCTCCAGCCTGCCACAAGGGAACCATTCTGTGCCATCAGCGGGGCTGCTGGTCAGCCCCAGATCATCTGCCCTGGCTGCACAAGGGGATGTTTATTCCCCCTGTTGATTCCCCGGGCACAGGGTGGGGGAGAGCGCCCAGCCCCGTGTCTGTGCTGCTGTGCCTTTCTGTGGAACCACGTCACAGTCACACGGTGATGGGGACAGGCCCGGGGCACCCAACGCTGCTGGGCAGTGCTCCCGGTGCCCGGGTGGCAGCGATTTCTCCAGCGGGGATTCTTGCCCACGATCTCTCCAGGGGGATTCTTGCCCACAATCTCTCCTGCGGGGATTCTTGCCCACGATCTCTCCGGTGGGAATTCTTGCCCACGCCTCCAGGTTTTTCTCACACAGTCCGGCAGTAGCGCAGTGAGGATGGGGGGTCGTGGCCAAGCCGGGGCTCCTGCCAGGAAAGAGCTGCACTCCTGAATCCTGAATCCTGGAGGGGCTAAATATACCTCGGCTGGAGATTTGGAGCCAGGGCACGGTGCAGACCCTTCCAGGCAGTGCTTTCACAACTGCTGGCAGCGCTGCCGGTGCTGCCTCCAACCTTCTGTTGTTTATCTCTCCCGGCTCCAAAGTCCTGATTGAGCAGCCCGGGCTGGTGCGGGTGTATTGGCACGGGGGGCTGGGGCTCCCGGGGGGCTGCTGGGCCGGAACGGCCCCGTGCCCTGCGCGGCAGCACCGGGACCCGACCCGGGCAGGAGTCTCGTGATGCAATTACAGTGCCGCGATTATTTATAGCTCTTGGCCCTGTGCACTGGAAAATGCTGCCCAGACCATCCCTCAGAACCTGCTCCTTGCGAGGGGCACGGAAACCCACCCCCACCCCCAGCCCTGCCCCCCTATCCTGTCATTTTTGCCTTTCAGCCCCAAAATTGTGGGACCCCTTTGCCCTCGGAACCCCCTCCCCAGTGCAGCTCCCGCTCTGCAGGGCGCTGGGACAGCATTTTGGGGGGCTGCCCCTTCCCCCAGCCCTGCCCATCCCGGGGGATGCTCGGTGCCATCTCGGTGGCCCGGGGGGTCGGTGGCGAGGGGGACGGTGACACGCGAAGCCTGTGGCTGTCCCGGCGCTGGCAGGGACAGAATGTGCCGGGGCTGGCACAGCCCTGCGAGGGCCGGGATTAGCTGTGCCGCTGCTGCCTCCGGCCCGGGCACCCGTCCAGCTCCCAAAACAAGCACCGCCTTCCCCATCGCAGCTGGGCTGAGCCCTGCGGAGTGCAGCTCACCCCAGAACCTGCCGAGGGGCACCACCGGGGGCTGATCTGCTTGCACGGTGGTGATAAATCGAGATTTTGGCTGAAGCAGAACTCCCCGCTCTGTCCCTGCACTGGGGTCGGGGTTCGGGCACTGCCCAAATTCAGCAGCAGGGATGCTGGGCTCGCAGCACCGGCACCCTGAAGAGCAGCAGTGGGTGCTGACGGAGGCTCAGGAGCAGCGGGACCTGCCCAGCCCGGGTTACACCGGGGGGACTCACAGACCCCAGCAGCACCGGGCCTTGCTTTGGCTTCTCTCCAACCTCCGGCGCTGCAGAAGCACCAGGGCTGAGGATGGCACAGCTTGGCCCTGGCAGCACCTTTGGGGTCGGGGACTCTGAGGCTGCCCTTCATCCGTGCCAGGGCTCCGGGAAGCGGCCCGACATGCCGGGGCGGCATCGCGGCCGCCCTCCGCCCGCTGACTCAGCCGCTGTTTGCCGGAGCTGCTCCCGCCCACGGAAACCGCAGGCAAAGTCCCGCATCCCTGAGCCGGGGCTTTTCCCGCCGGCTTGACAGGAATCGCAGCTTTTCCCCAGCCTGGTGCGGGCAGAGAGCCCCTCCGGCTGCGGGGGGGAGGAAACTGCGGAGAATCGGCACGATTTTTATTTTATTTTATTTTATTTTATTTTATTTTATTTTATTTTATTTTATTTTATTTTATTTTATTTTATTTTATTTTATTTTATTTTATTTTATTTTATTTTATTTTATTATTTCATTTTATTTCATTTTATTTTATTTCATTTTATTTTATTCCAAAGCGGTTTTTTTTATGCCAAAAAACTGGGTCTGGAGCAGCCGGGTGGCCGAGTTGCACGTGCCACATGTCCCCTCCCCGGTGACCATCGTGCCAGCAGTATGGTGACATCACCGGGACACCCCACAAACCCGCCGGTGGCCGGTGCTGCCAGTGTTGTCTTTGCAGCAAACTGCCACTTTTAATCACTATATCAACATTGTCCATATTGTTTTTTGGGTCTGACCCCTCATTTGGGGTCCCTCACTGCTGGTACTGACCGGCCCCTTGCACAGTCACTCCTCGCTCCCTCCCTTCCTCGGGCAATGGAAAACATTTGTGACTTTTTGACTTTCCTCCAGTTGTTTGGGAGCGAGGAAGGGGCCGGTGCCGCGCACAAACATGTCTATGTATAAACACTGGGGACAGCGCCAGGGATGGAGCCGCCGGCCCCGGACCCTCCCCACGGAGCCGGGTGTCCCCAGTCCTGCCGGGACCCCAGTGGGGCGTTCCATGCTCAGTGACCCAGAGCCCTTCCCGTGGGGACGCAAATATTTTGGCTTTGTTTTAAAAAAAAACAACACTTAAAGAAAAAAAAAAAAAAAATCCCCCCTCCGGGGTCATCCAGCGGCGGCGCGTGATGTGTTGGCACACAAACACGGAGCTTGGGACGGGCACGGCTCCCACGCCACGCGCGGGTGGCACTGCCACCCTGTGCCCTGTGCCAGGGATGTGACACGATGGACTTTGCTCCCAGAGCCGTGCCACACCCCGGCTGGGTTTGCTGTGACTCCACAAATCCTAGAGAAGTCCCCGGGCAGCCCTGGGTGGGTTACCATGTCCAGGGGGACGTGGCACGGTGACATCCCCTGATGTGCCCAGGGGTATGTGGCACGGTGGTGACACCCCACGCCCTGACCCCGCAGATAAAACCCTGCTCGTGTGGCGTGTGGCACCACAGTCACTGCTCTGGGTGTCAGGGGGGTCACAGCTGTCCCCAGATGAGAGGCCAGGAGTGCGGGGCTGTCACCCTCACTGCTCCCTGTCACCTCAGCAGTGATGGGACAGCCTTGTCAAACCCCTCGCCTCTGATCCTTCCTCCCACACCCCAACCTCAAACTCTTCAGAAACGGGGTTGTGCTCCTTTCTTCTTACCTATCACCCTGCAAGAAGCCGCAAATTTGTGCTGATTTCATCAAGAAGAACAAAAAACCTCAGCCCAAGCTCGGTTAGGAGGGAGAGGGGCCCAGTGAGCTCGCAGGGATGCCCACACATCTCCAGCCCCCATTTCCCAACCTCATCAGCAAGCCGAGGGCCGGTTATCTTTAAATGGCAGGGGTTTTGTGGAGCAGGGAGAGGGATTTTCCTGCTGAGCAGCTGTGTAAATGCCAGCGCATCCCGGCGATAGCCCGCGGGGTCCGGGCTGGTTGGAGGCGGCAGTGCCGGTGGGGAGGGACGGAGCCGGAGGGGCTCCAGCCGGTTCCCTCCGCTTTCTCGGCGGTTTTGGCGTGTGAAAAAAAAATGAGGGAGAGTCAATCTGCCTGCAAAGAGCTGGTAAACACCCTGGGAGCGGATCTGCGAGAAGGGGGGGTTGCTCTTGGTCTGGTGTTTATCTCCGCAAAGCTGGGCTGGGATGAGACAGATGGGGGAGACTGCTGTAAAAAGGCGATTTTTTGAGGGGGCTCTCTGGTTATCGAGTTGTCCTTAGCTCAACTCTGGCCGTCTGCTTGAGCAAAATATGTTTATGATGCGAAACCTCCGGCCGGCTGCGCTGCCAAGGGGGCAGGGAACGCGTGTGCCGATAAGGGCGCAGCGTCCTCCCCTTCCCGAGCGCCCGACAGCCGGGGCAGCGCACCGAGTTTATGACTTCTTTTACTCCTATTGTAAAGATTCCGTTGAGATTAAAAAAAAAAAAAAAAAAGGAAAAAAAAA